TCCTTTAATAGTTGGTTTTCAACAGCAATATTCTTTTTTTTTTTTTGAAAGATCAATAGTAATATTCTTTTTGACAGAATTTTCTATCTATCAAATTCCAAAAGATTTGATGATGCAAAATTTAAAGTTCGGATTTGGTGCAAATTAAAGATGTGTTGTTTCATTTGTTTAAACAGTTTATATTCTTAAAAATAATTTTTTTTATTTATGATTCCACACATACGTACACACACATATACAAATAGTGAATTCGGATTCGCTAATTGATTCAACTGAAAATGCATCCGAATTCATAGGTTTCAAATAAAGGTTAATGAATGTCATTTATTGATATAATTCAATTTTTTAGATAAATTTGAACTCAATCATTTATACAAATCAATTACAATCCGGTCATGATGATAAGAATCTTCAGAATACTTTCTAATTATGTGCAAGCATTTATTTAAAAATATAATTTATTTTGAAACTATTGTTTGTTATGGTTATTGTCACCTTATTTTTAGTTATCATAATCGATGATCAGTGAACAATGTACATTTTCCCATTTCAGATTGTCAAGTAGTCCATTTCAAAATATGAAATCATTAATATGCAACAAAATCAAAGGACCAAACGAACTAAATATTGATCAATGACATATTTGGTTTAAATCTTGATTGACATAATTTGAAATTTAAAAAGTTCTCTTTAATCTTTACCCCATCTCATTTCTCTTCCCACTATATATATCTGTGCCACTCTCACACCAACCAAAGCATGAGAAAAAAAATCTATCATCACTACAAAACAATTTTCAAATTCTTATTTTAAATTTACAAAAGTTTACTAACATAGAAGAAATTGAAATCTTTAGTAATTTTGCGCCAGCAAACAATAAGGTTATAGACGATTTGCAAAAATTAAACTAAACAAAATCCTTTTTATGTCGGCCCAATCTCATTTGATACAGTGACATGCATAACAATTAATTTCTTCTTCTTCTTCACATGCTTGAGTTTAAAGGACTCTTGGTTGCTTTCATAATTTAATGCATTTTTTTTTATTAGTTTCATTTCCTTTCAAATTATTAGTAAATTTTTATAAATTTTTCATAAAAATATTTATTCTTACCCCGCACATCGTGCGGGCAACATCTAGTACAATCAAGCTCAATTCATCTAGAATACATGCAGCCTCGGTGATAGAGCAAACAAATTAACGTTGTATTTTTCCATCATACCGGTTACACTTTAATATTGTTGCAACACAGAAGTAATGTAAAGATCCGGTCTGCCTTCCTTCTATTTCTTTTCTGCCATTTTTCCAGTTGAAATTATAGAATTCCGAACCCTAGAAGCTCTAGAGCACACAAAAATACTGTGGGGAGGGGGCAGTCTCTGAATTAAATCATATCTGGACTGTGTTTTTTTCCCCACAAATCAACAGCAAATAGAAGGGATGGTGAATTTATTTTCTTTTTTTTTTTCTTAATAAAGAGAAAAAAAAAAACTCAACGAGTGCAAGACACCAAAAAGAAATTCATATCTGTTAATTAGTTACAAGATATAGAAACTGTAATAATCTATCTATAGTATTATTTAAGAGAGAGAAAATAAATCTTCTATAGGATAAAATCATATGTGACATTTTATAAGGATGCCCCAAATTTTCTCATAAATAAATTGGAGTGTAAGTCCTTATATTTTCTTGGTAAATAAACAATTTGTCATAAATAAATTGTAGTGTAAGTCCTTATATTTTTTGGTAAATAAACAATCCTACCATTACCATTTAATGTTAAAATATAAGTACTAATTGGTAAGCACCAGGAAAGCCTAATTGAATTGATCGTATTAATTAAAGTCAATGTTTGCAGGATCGTGATCCTACGTAGGATCGAAATGGGGTCTTAGAATCGGATCGTAAATCGGATCGGTAGGATAGAAATAGTAGGATCGTAAAATCAACTATACATATTATAATAATTAATTACTTAGATAATTAGATTTCAATTATCTTTACATAAAGTATTTAACATTTAAACTAAAAGAAATGTGTAAATTTCATTTTCTTATATGAATTTTTAGATAATCTTTTAATAAATACTCTTCTCTTATAGTTTTTCTTTCATTTTATTAGAAAAACTTTTTAAAATATATTTTTCTTAGCAATAAAAGTTTCCTCAAATAATATTAGCCTCAATTGAATGTGAACCAAAAGAAGTACTCCCTCTGTCCTACAATTATTGTCCAGTTTGATATTTCACTTTTAGTACAATTTGAACTAGAAATGAAAATCTAAGCTGGACAATAATTATGGGACGGGGGGAGTAAGAGAAAAGAAAAATCTCAATAAGCTCAATTAATTTTTTTAATTGATGAATAGTAAACTCGGACCGATCCTACAATCCTATACGATACTGTACGATCCTAACCGATCCCACTCTGATCACATTGCAAAATTCGAGTTTGATCGATCCAGAATCGATTTATGTACTTGGGATCGTAAGATCCAGGATCGCAAGTTTGCAAACTATGAAAGTAACTATTTCCGAAATTAAAAAAAAAAAAAATTGATAGTATTCTTCATTGACCCTAAACTCTATATGGGCACAAACACGTCCAAGTACATATTTTCAATTTTTATTCTGATTGGAAAGATCTGATCATATATTATTTAGTAATAATTGATAACTATTTTAAATATTAAAAAGAAAAACAGATATTGATTGTCTTCGTCAATGACCCTAAACTCTATATATACACAAACCCGTCCAAGTACATTTTTTCAATTTATATTCTGATTGGAAAGCACCGGAATTCATTCAGATTATTACTACATGTGCACAAAAATTTTAGACATCAATACACGATTACACATTGAAAACATACCATAAGTTTCTTGCTGCAGTAACTATTGATGTACAAAACATGTTGTCCCAAATTTGTTAATACACGTGAAATTGAAATATTGATAATCACTACTCCCACAAAATGGTCCTATAGTTACCATTTTTCATTTTTATTTTTATCTTTGCTTTGCTACTTTAGTTATACTCCCAAGCTCCAATAGGTGGTATTAATTAAGCAGTGATTTTTAGCTATTGAAGGTTAATCATCTGAGATGAGTAATTTTGTAAATTGTAACGCCATCGAAAGTAACAGTTCTTCCTTGCGTTGCAAGTTAATTAAGGACTGCATTTTTCTTAGCCTGACCAGGGAAATGGACTATGTTTTGTAATGGCGAAATCAAAAGCGGCTTTGTTTGTTTGTCAACTCATTTTACATTTTAACTCATTTTACCTCTTAAACACAAAATCCAATGGAAAAAAAAACATTATCCAAACAACTTTCTGATTTACATTTTAAATTCCAACTTGAAACACTTTTTGTTAGTGTAATGACTATTTTAGAATTATAAATAGTTTAGTGACAAATTTGATAGGATTCCGTTGTTGAGTGATTGTTTTTGGAAAAGTTCCTTTTTGCAGTGACTATAATTGGCAGTATTTAATTGTTTAGTGATGACTTGTACTTGATATTTCAAAATGTAGTTCAAAATACTTTTTTTTTTCAAAGCCAACATCCAAACAATATTTTTATTTCCCATTTAATTTTCAATTTGAAACACTTTTCACTTTTAAGTGGCAAAATAAAATGTAAGTTCTAGTCCAAACAAGTACTAAATGTTTCGGAAAGCATTGTTACTCACCTTTCGGAGTATTATTTAAAAAGAGATGTTTTATTATGAAGTTTGCATTTCGGAGTATACTTATAAAATTTAGATAAACTCACCTCTCTCTCTCTCTCTCTGTCAAGTTAAAAAGAAATTCCTCAAACTAACGGTCATATTAGTTTTGATAGTCCTTCTTCTTCCTTTTTTTTTTTTTTTTGGGATCAATGGAATTAAGGGGATAATTAAAAATCTTAAATATTTGAGACTGATTTACAAAGTTTAATGTTATCGTTTGGGATGAAAATATGACTTCTTTATCTGTCTTTTCCTTATTCAAACAATGAAAAGACGAACTCTTAGTTCAGGAGATCATTACATTCAAGTGGGATTAAACATTTCAACTAAATTGTGTTGTAGTCAAGATTCCTAACGGTCAATATAGAAATCTCCAAGCTAGGCTAAGTGCGAACAAAAGAGTGTTAGCAAAATTAGACTAATTATGATAAATATAATCATGAAATTTGTGACTAAAACCCTCATTCACAAGATTATATATAATGATAATAATAAAAAGCTAACTATTAGGTCTTCATCATAGGCGACCTTGTTTTAACTGCTATATAGTACTAACGTCACACGATTCGGAGGGGAAAAGGTGGGAACGACTATGCATTTGGGTTGATCAAAATGATGGTGAAATTTGAAAATTGCGACAAAATCAGGCGAAATATAAATGAAGCAATCAAAACACATAATTAATGAAGTAAGGAGGCAACAAAGGAAAATGAAATTAAAGGGGAGGTTGGCCTCGTGAGACATGATACCACCATTGTCAAATATGTCAAGGTCTTTATCGGGCAGGTAGGGTTCAAAACTTCCAAAAACTCACCCCACATATGATTTGTAACCCACGCCTAATCAACGACCAGTTACGTGTACAGCCTATCTCGGTGATGGAGCAACAAATTAATGTCGTAAATTTCCATCATACCGGTTATACTTTAATATTTGTTGCAACACAAAAGCAAATGTAAAGATCCGATCCGCCTTCCATTTATTTCCTTCCTGCCGTTTTACAATCCAAATAAAATCATAGAACTCGCAAAAATAATTGGGGGAGGGGGTCTCTCTGAGTTAAATCATACTTTATCTGTTTCAAAATTATTGTTCAGTTTAAATTTTTATTTTTAGTTCAATTCGTACTAAAATTAAAAATTCAAACTGGACAATAATTTTGGAATGGATAAAGTATATGGATTGTGTTTTATAAGTCATCGAATATTAATTTCCACAAATCAATAGCAAATAGAATGGATGGTGAATTTTTTTTTCTTTTTCTTTTTGAATAAAGAGGAAAAAAAATACTCAACGAGTGCAAGACACCAAAGAGAAATTCATGTATGTTAGTTACAAGATATAGAAACTAATAATATAAATAAAAAAATAACAACACACAACATCTATAGATATCTATAGAGATCATCACAAAAAATTTCGCGGTTAGAACACGATATAGTAGCTTAATACTTTAATGACCATACTTGTGAAACTCCCACTCGGAATTGTCTAAAGGGCAGACTTGGCGGGATTTTAACCACCGGCTGATGCAGTGGAAGTGGAAGGCATGGTTGCAGACACCCCAAGCCACCGTGCAGTCGTCGGTGGAGGCGCTGGCTTGATTAGCCTGGCACTCAATGCACAGCGTCATAATATGGTTCCTGCAAATCGCACAGTTGTCCACCACTATATCCCACGCCCACAACCCCACCGCGTTCCACTTCTTCAACTCGAACCGCTTCTTCCCCTCGGCTGATGCTGTCGCCTTTATCGTCTTTTTCGAAGTATCCGCGCCGGATGACGGCTTATCTTCCATACTCTGTGTCCATATGTTTTCTTAATTTTCTTTCTCTTATTTCGAGTTCAGAATTCTACTAGGGATTGTTTCTTTTTGTATCAATCTAATAATTTGGGGTGTAAGAATTGAATTACTGCTTTGGGGCATTGGGATCGATACCGTATTTATAGTGACGTCGTAAAATTCGATTCCGATGAACAACAGGTTTTTCCTTCTTGCCGCCTGTAAAAAGGTTCCAATATATTCCTCCAATAGGTGGATTACCTATTTATTATACTGTAAATTTCCTTTGTTTGTATTTTTTTTTTACGGAGAAAAAAAAATCATCCATGTTTGATTGGATTTGATCCGAGGGCAATTATTAATTATTAAGAAGCTGATCGATGCTCCATTTTGCGCTCTCCATGTGGACATTAGTGATATTATCAGAACAATAATTAGCTCCAGAGTATAAATTGTCTTTTCGTCCCAAATTATCCTTACGGAGTCTAGACACAAATTGTATTCTTCTCTCCCCTTATATTCTTCACTGCGGTTCCGATCCGAATTCTTTCTCGCACAAAGCTTTTCATACCAACGATGCTATAGTAAATTTCTAGACTTCCTTTCTCACCATCATCATCAAGCAACATCCAAAACCATCCAAACTAATGGCATCCAAATTCAATTCCAAACTTTTCTCTTTCCAAACTCATCAATTAATATCCAAGTTGGCCAAAATCCTGTGATTCCATGTTGGCTTCAAAGAGATTGAAATCTGTTGTTTAAATTTGTGCCAAAAAATATCAAATAAATTAAAAATTATCCTCTAAAAAAGAGAAAATTCAGGAACATTGATGAATGTATAGAAATCCAAATGGAGGCTTTGCCGTAGAAGAAAGGAATGGGTGAAAATAAAGACAATTCATTTATATGAATTCAGAGAAATCACTTACGTTGTTTATGAAAGAAATTGCGGTTGAAGGTCTCATGGGAGGACCAAGACAATTATTGATGCTTTACCAACCGGTTGTTTTGTTGATTGTCTTCTAAATGTTCCCTATTGCATTGATTTATGATGAAAATTGTGTTGGCCTTAATCTTTTATAATTATAAATTATAATGAAATTCTATGTCGATATCAGGATGTGCTTCCTTATGAGTAAGTCATGAAGAATGCTGCCCTTCCCTGCCTCTTTGTAGATAGGAAAATCAATGCCTCTTTGTACTTTGTAGTTGCAACGTTTCTTATTGACGGACGATTACGACAATATTCAGCTTTAAAATAGTGTTTGACAAGAAAAATTATGGTGTTAGAAAGCGTTTATGGAGGTTAGAATATTCTTTTTTATTTATGGTAATTAAGATGAGCAAGATAAGTTCATGTTTGGCTGATAATTACTAGTACCAAATTACAAGACTAGGGTACTGTTTTTCTTTTCTTTTTTTTCTTTTTTTTTTTAATTTTTATTTTCCTCTCAGCTGTAATCTAATTAACCGTCCAAGTTAAGAAGGAAAATAAATATTATGCTCAGGTTTAATTTTAACTCACGAAGGAAAATATTCTGATCGAAGAGCCAACTTTTCTTCAATGCGTGGCAATATTACGCATAATCCTTCTTCGGGGAATCTTTTAGTAAGATATAGAAAAAAGAAATAATCATAATATATATATATATATCTTTAATTTTTAATATATTAAAGGAGAGTTTTCAATCGGACACATGACGCGATATTAGATAGGTTAATCCACGTGGCGCAAAATTAGACATTCAAATCCACATATCGCACCCACATCACTTCATCATTTAATGGTAATTTTTTAATGTAAAATTATAAATTTATAGATAAAATTAAATTAATAATGAGATTACCTCTTAACGGTAAATTTTAATGATTGGGCAAAACTTCTTTGATTTATTGGGCTCAATTTGTTAATTAACTAAATGTTAAATTGTGCTTTCTCTCCAAAATCGGTTAGCCCAAAAGTCCAAAATAAAGTGGCCTAATGTATTTAATCAATTACCAAGCCAATTAATTCTTCTCACGGCCAAATTAATTAATCAACAAAATTACACTTTTGCTCCATAAGTTTTCAACTCATTTATGGTCTTCCTTACTAATTCTTGAACATTCACCTCATCCCTCAGCTTTAATTTTCCACTTCATTTTTTTGTTTTTTTGTTTGGTAAACATTTTCCACTTCATTTAAGCCCAATTCGTCCACTTTATCTCCAATTGTTTCAAATCTCTCAACTCCTCCAAATAAAGATTTTATTAGGTAATATCATCTTTAAAGCATATAAAAAGAACACAAAATCTTATGGGAAATTATATGAAAATGTTTGCTAAAATATGACTTAGCAATGACCAAAAAATAAACTTGAAACTAATAAATCCAAAGATAATCAACTAAAATAAAAAACCAAAAGAAAACCAATTTGACGTAAAAAAAAAAAATTCGACAGCCATGATGAGAAAAACCAATACTAACAAACAATTACTGTTGATTACATTGTACAAAAATTGTAAAAGAAAAAAATAATAATACTAATAAATCCAAAGATAACCAATTGAAATGAAAAAAAAAAGACATAAAGAAAACAATTCGACATTAAAAAGAAAAACAAATTTTATTAGGTAATATCATCTTTAAAGCATATAAAAAGAACACAAAATCTTATGAGAAATTATATGAAAATGTTTGCTAAAATATGACTCAGCAAAGACCAAAAAAAAAGAACTTCAAACTAATAAATCCAAAGATAATCAACTAAAATAAAAAACCAAAAGAAAACCAATTTGACATAAAAAAGAAATAAAAATAAAAAATCGACGACCATGATGAGAAAAATCAATTCACCGATCAATATTAATTTTTATAGTTATGTGTTAAAAGTGTAATAACCATTAATCGTATTCTTTTCTTTTTTATTGGTTAGTGTATTGGTTTTTAATTATTTCAATTGGTGATGCTTCGATTGTAAATTTTTTTAATGGTAATATAACTTTTACCGCTTAACAGGCAATACTAACCAATAATTATTGTTGATTACGTTGTACAAAAATTGTAAAAGAAAAATAATAATAATACTAATAAATCCAAAGATAACCAACTGAAATGAAAAAAAAAGACATAAAGAAAACAATTCGACATTAAAAAGAAAAACAAATGACGGGTATGATGAGAAAAACCAAGTCACCGGTCAATATTAATTTCTATAGTTATGTGTTGAATTGTAACCATAAATCAGATTTTTTCCATTGTTTAGTGTATTATTTTTTATTTCAGTTGCTGGTGCTTCGTTTGTAAATTTTTTTAACGATAATATACTTTTTGCCCCTTAACGATCATGCTAATAAATGTTTATTGTTGACTACATTGTATAAAAACTTACAAAATAAAAAAAACTAAAATAATAATAATACAGATAATATAATTATTTATTAATCGGCAAATTTTAATAATAGAATAATGATATATAATATAATATATTATAAAATAATTTAACAAATTATTATTGTTAAAATTAATATAATAGTGTAATATATTCATTATTTTTTTTCTATATGATATAATGGTAGAAAAAGTTAAGGTTATAGCGATAAAACAAAACGTAAAGATCAATAGGGAGAAAGTTTTTCAAAATTAAAAAAAAAAACAATAAAGGTCTTTGTGAGAGCCAACTTGTAGAAGAAAATCATATTGAGATATTAAAAATGACTATATGGAGGAAAAAATTATATAGTAAATAAGAAAAATATGAAAATACAAACTGAGATAATAGTAAAGAATGAAATAATGATAACAAAATTTTCAAGAAATGAAACTTTAAAGAGAGGTCATCAAACTTAGAAAGAACAAAAAGCCGAAAACTATGCGATCAAGGAAAAAAAAAAATGAAGTAAACACTATATTATAGAAAAAATATACGAACAAAGTACTAATGGAAGGTTGCAAAAGGTATATAGAGAGATCGAAAATAAAGAAAATTCTATGGAAAAAATAATGAAAAAATTTTCTGTTAGAGAGAGAGTTTAAAAGATATGACATAGGTAGAAATATTTATTTATTTAGGAGATCAATATGAAAAATTAAAAGAATACTTTTAAAAGATATGAAACCATAAATCAACAACACGAAAAAACATGGACAATAAGTTATATTGGATGATTTCAAAAATTAAAAATTATTTTAACTATACTTAAAATAACAAAATATAGTTCAAAATTACACAATTGCAATTTATATCATTAATATTATTTTTGACCAACCCGCACAACGTGCAGTATAAATACTAGTATATATATTAAAGAAGAGTTTTTCAATCCAACACATGGCATGATATTAGATAGGGTAATCCACATATCAAAAAATTGGATAGCCAAGTCCACATGTCGTAAGCATATCACTCCATCATTAAATGGTAACTTTTTAAAGTAAAATTATAAATTTATAAATAAAATTAAATTTACTGGAGTTTAATTCCTACATCCAAACATAGAGCGGAAGTTGGCTCTCTTTCTACCCCTTTTTATAAACGACAAATTAACTATGGTGGTAAATTAGCAAGCACATAAGACAAGAACAAATTAATTTACCCCGCACATATAAAACTTATGCAAAATATGCACAAATCAAAGTGCGTACTCATCAATATATAAAAATAAAAAATTAATCTAGATTTAAAGAAAAGATGATGCTCATATTTGAAGATAATAAATTATAATTAGGTTAGTTATTGCCAAAAAAATAATTACCGTTTTCATATTTGCATAATATAATTAGAATTCATTAATTGCGCACATGATATTAAATATAATAAATTATAAAACTAATTATTAGAATACTAATATAATAAGTTAGTGTAATAAAATAGTAATGTTACCATACTATCCAATTCTAATAATTATTAGACGATATATATATATACACACACACACACACTAAGATAGTATACTTTTTATTAAACAATATACTAAATTAAAATTTCATATTAGGAATTGGCAAATTATTATAGTATAATATTAGCTAATGTGGAGTTGTGGCAGCTTGTGTTTATTATGTGTGGATTGAGAGCAATTGTAGAAAGTTTGCACAGAAAAGAAGACAATAGAAGATAGATTCAAAAGTACAAGTCAAGAATTGATTTGGAGAGCTCAACAGTGTTGTATAAAGCCTAATGTAGCAGACATGAAGTATTTAGATAGTCTTTGTATTCATTAGAAGATGGCAAAGTTTAGTATACGTGAAAGTAGATAGTACGGGATGTAAATGAAAATCTGGCTCAGTGGATTTTTTAAAGTTTGACCTTTTATCAAAAAATAAAATAAAATTACACAATTGAAATTTATATCGTTAATATTATTTTTTTTACATATATCACTCCGTTGGAAATGTCATAAAACAGTTAAATCATTACACTCATATATAATTAAAAATAATTATTTGAAAGACAAAATTATATAGAGAATAAGAAAATATGAAAAAAGAAAAACCAAGATTATAGTAAAAATAAAATGATTATTACAAATTTAACAAGAGATGAAGCTTTAAAGAGATGCCATCAAATTTAGAAAAAAGAAAGAAAGAAAAGTTAAGACGATGCAACCAAGAAATATGATGTAAACACTATATTATAGGAAATGTACTAACAAACTTCTAAACAAAGGTCGCAAAAGTTATATGGAAAGATGAAAAATAAAGATAAGTGTATGGTAAGAAATAATGACAAAATTTTCTGTAAGAAAGAGAGTTGAAAATATATGACACGAGAAGAAATATTTAGATAGATCATTATGAAAAACTAAGAAAATGCTTTTTAAGAATATAAAGTTGATCAGAGAGTTCCATCTGACAAAACAGTTTCCATGGAATGAGATAAAGTATGTCCAAAAAAAAAAAGTTATAATAGAAGAAAATAATAAGTATAGTTGTATAGCGATTGAGTGTTATTTTTTCCGAATATGAATAATAAGCATAGGTATCACGAAAAATATGGGCAATAAGTTAAATTGAATGATTTTAAACATTGAAATTTGTTCCAAATGTAAGTAAAATAACAAATATTAACATTAAAAAGTACAGAATTGCAATTTCTATCATTAATATTATTTTTCGTTACATATATCAGTCCATCAAAAATGTTATATATTTGTTAAATCATTAAATTCATATATATCTTGAAGAATCACACAACGTGCGGGGCAAATACATCCCACACCTTAATACGCTGACGTGTTATTTAATTAATAAACCTTTACATATAACACATGTAGCCAGAAACAAGATCATACAAGTAATCCTCAAAACGTTGGTTTTCGTTCAGGATTTTGGCTAGAACTTAAAATGAAATATTTATTTTTTATTTGTTATTTTGGTTTTGAATGGTGCAAGTTTTATGGTAGTCTAAGACGATGAATTGAAAATGTAAAAGGAAAAAAGCCATGTGCAAACATGATAAATAATTATTTTGTGCAGGTTTATAATTTACCGGTTCTAATGAATCAAGATTTTTCTCTTATAATTTTGCCTTTGTGATTAAGGTGGAGGGTTGGAAACATTTATGGAGGGTGTCTTGATAATAATCTCACTAAAGTTCTATTAAGCACAAGTACTTTTAAAATTCATAATTAAAAAATGTAGAAGAAATCGAGACGAGGGTATCTTTCTTTGTTGTCCTTAAACAGTCATTCGAATGAGAGGCGAAGATGATCTTAGTTTATATTTAAATAGCCAACATGTCATAGGACAAAGGGATAATTACGAGATAAATATAATCGGAATCATTTGGTAAAGGTTAATTACAGAAAAATCATTTTTCAACATAATTATAAAATCTGTGATTTGTATTGTTATTGGATACATTCAATATTACATCAATGAATGGTGCCATTCGGTATTGGTTAATTATAAAATCAATTCAAATGAGGTCACTTGAGAACGACACAATACGGAGAAAAAAAATCATCTTTTTTCATAAAAGTATAAAATGTATGGTTTGTTGGAACTGTTAGATACACTCAACATTTATTCAATAAATGAGGTCATTTCGTTAGGTTAATTGCAAGATGAATTTGAACGCGATCATTTGGCAAGAATAATAAATAAAAAAATCATTTCTTAATTCAAGCAAAATATGTATAATTTGTTCCGTTTAATGGGTATGATATCACTTCAAGGAGCATAGTTATTCAGCAAGACCTAATTACAAAAAGAATTTAAGCGGGAGAATTTGAAAATGATGAATTAAAAATAAATGAATCTAACCATATAAGTATTAGATACACGATTTGCTTTAGTTACTAGATATAAACGATTTGATTGAGATATCATTTGATAAGGGTTAATTAAGAAATAAATTATTTGTTAACTCAAGTATAAGATGTATGATCTATTGCAATAACAAGATATAATCAGTAGTACTTCAATAAATGTGATCAATCGGCAAGGGCTAATTACAGAGTGAATTTGAACGAGTCCTTAAAAAAGTTCAATTAAGAAGAAATCATTTTTTACAATTACTAAGTACACTCAATCTTTCTGAACGAAGTCATTTTGCTACAGTTAACTACAAGATGAATTTGAACAGAGTCGTTTTTGTAATGGCCAATTAAAACTAAATCATTTGCTTACAGGTATAAAATGTATGGTTTTCATGTCAAATAAAATAAAAATGAACTTCAATGGGTCTTTGGAAATGAATAATTAAACCCATTTACATATGAAGGAATTTTTTTTTTCATTTTGTTTAAGTTTTTCCAACGAATTTTGACAGTTTTATCCTATGAAATGTAATACTGGAATTATTGTAGTTTTGCTTGAATATGCTTGAACCATTTTTTCATATAAAATTCTATCTCCAATACTAACAATTTACCATATACAAATATCACTCCGTCGCAAATATCACATAATTGTTAAATCATTAACATCATATACCTTGAATAACCCGCACAACGTGCGGGGTAAACACTAGTATATATTAAAGGAGAGTTTCAATCGGACACATGGCGTAAAATTAGATAGGCTAATTCACATGGCGTACAATTAGATACCCGAGTCCACATATCGCAACCACATCACTCCATCATTTATTATAAAAAATACATTAAGGTAATATATTATGGGGGAATATTTGAAAAGACCCTTTTCAAGACATTTAGCAATACATCCAACCAATAATACCTTGTGTTTCGTGTAATAAACCCACTTTTGCAGTCTTTAACGATAAAACATATAATGAACAACAAAGTTTTACAGATTTATTACTTTGGTCTTTTGATTATCTTTTTCTTTCTTTTTTTTGATTTTCAAAATATCTACTATTGATAGTTTCATAATTTCTATATTTTAACTACTGATTATACAATACAAGATTTTAACACAATAATATCTAAATCCCGTCGTGTAACGCACGAGATACATACTAGTTAACATAAAGGGGGAATTAATATTGATTGATTTTTTCGTACTTAGTTATTGTAAAATTAATAACAATTATAATAATAACTTGAAAACAAACTCAATTTTAAGTAACTGGAAACAAAATAATAATAATATTGAAATAAATAATAATAATTAAAAAAAAAGAGTCCTCCTAGGAGCGCAAAGGATTTAGGGTTAACCGACTGGCAAAGCCCAAAATCCTACTCCCTATCAATACGTATAGTTGATGTGGATCAGGATACACAAAAATATAATCTTAGATGTTAATTACTACGATGGAAAGTTTTATGCTATCGATTTCTTTGCCCAACTTTGGAGTTGGGATGTAATTAACCGTAACAAATTCAGGGGATCTTAATTTGTTAAAGCCTTTCACTAGTGATCGAATGCAAGCTTTACAACATTCCCAGGATTTCAAAATGATTGCAGACCCGAGTTTGAGTTTGCCTTTATGAGAAAAAGTGGGAATCATTTTGAACTTGATGATGAAGATCATTGTAAGTGTGATTATTATGGGGTAGAAAATTTTAAATTTGATAGATTACGCATCCGCTGTCTGAAGTCATTGCTTCGACTTATTCGGATTCGAGCGAGTGGGAAGAAATAAATAGTTTCGGTGATGATGCTATTTTTGTTGGACGCAGTGTTTGTATGAATATCTTATCCCGGCTACAGAATTCATGGATTTAATTAAGTCCAATTTCATTTATTTCACTGATGATTGCATCGATCCGTATATGTTTTTCAACAGTTATGGAGGTGGCAAGGACATGGGAATTTATAATCTCTAGTAGATTCAAATATTGAGCGGGATTTGTTGACGTTGAGTCCTTTAGCTTTACATGCTCTCCGATCTGGATAACTCCATCATTTTGAATATAATGAGATGTCCAGCGTCGATCTCCATCATCGATGCACATATTTGGAGGTTTTATTGTTCTTGTCACTTTGTGCTTTACTTATACAATAGTTATTTAGACCTAAAGTTCAATGTGTATTTGCAATAGTTTGCGTCATATATACAAGTTGTTAATTAACTATAACTGGATTGCAAAGTTTATTGATGACGTTAATATTTATTTCTATAGTCCGAGTATAACTTTAATTTACCATAATATTGTATTGAGTAAATGTTAGTGCCGCTAGCTATTTCATAATCCTTATCTGGTGTAGCTAATTCCCATTGCTAGCTTTATTGTGAATCTTTTTGTTAGTTTTTATGTTCTAATAATTCTTTAATTGTACCATGTAATTTAACTGATCGAAATACACAGACAAGAAGGTAACCAACATGATGCGAATACATAGAAAACTGTAAATAAAGTCCTTTGAAGAGGTTTTTTTAGGATCTATAACTAATGTACAAGACAATAAAATCCGAAGAATTCAGACAAAGCGAAATGAAAACATAAACTATATTTGTGCATTAGTAATAGAAAAAACAAAAAAAACTCAATTTAGTAACGTCGATTATTCTGTCTTTTATCCTTGCCACCTCCTTCACCAATCCTCCAAACCGCTCTGCACACTCCCACAACGCAGTAACCATGCCAGCATCAAAATGATGTCCAAATCAGTGGACATACAAACTGAAAGACTCAACGTTACTGAATCGTATACTTCCATCTTCGAGACAATAAATTCCCATATCTTCGCCCCCTCCTAGACCGAGCCGACCCCCTCCGCTAAATGTTTCAGAATAGGTATAGGCTTCAAAACAATCGTCCGTAAAGTAGATACAATCAGGCTTGGTCGCATCCGGATACATAGAAGCCACGACTGACCTAGCAGCACTATGGCCAACAAAAATTGCATCCGCACCTAAGGTAGCAATCTTCTCCCACAGGCATTTTGTCACATCCAATCGAATGACCTCAAAATTTTTAACCCCATAGGTGGAATCTTCCCGCCTTCCGACGCCATCCCGTGTTACGACTATTAACTCGCCACTTGATGATTCTAATAAATATGCTTCCTTAATACCAACAAAAAGCTGACGAATACTCAACAGGACATCCGCAACCATCGCAGGTTGACATTCATCGTATGTCACCATGCGCGAGGATTCATCCCAAACGCAAACTGTGCCCCCAGCGTCAACCGCAAAGAACTTGCCATTCTAGTAAGTAACATCCCACCAAAAAGGAGTGCCTTCGTATGCAGGTACAACCTCTGTCCATTTCAGGTCGCCGGACCTCCAAAAACCTAGGGCGGTACCACCATTATAAATTACAGCTACAAAAAGATTTGAAGTGTGCTATGGATTTGCAGAGATAGCCACTCTGAATAAATATGTAAACTTGGGAAGCAAATGATCATAATCCTCAAAATCAGGGAATGTTGTAAACTGTGGAAGTTGGATCTGAGAACGAGAAGAAGGGTTGAATAAATTAATCTCACCTGAAATTGAAACCGTTAAGAGCCACCCAAATCTAGCTTCCATGCACCGTCTACCCTTTATCTCCGGGAGCGATAACCTCATAGCAATCTTTCTTCTTGATAGGCTGTAAAATTCACGCTCGTCACTGTCTTTTTTCTCCGCAAGCATAAGCAATGGAACGCCCTTCAAGGGATTGACAAACTTGGCTTCTGTTGCCGCGGATCGCCAAGAAGCACAAACCCCTCGGAAAACCAATGACATCTTCCACCAATTCTATGGGTTTTGTTATCTCAACCAACATCTCGTGAATTAGGCCCGACCAATTTCTATTGTGTTCCATTGATTAACTGTGGAGTACTTACTAAACGGAGGAAAGAAGCTAATATATCTCTCGATTTGGTTCACGAATTTAATTTTCCGTGTAAGTACTTCGAATAGGACTTAAAAAGGAAGGCGGTTTGTGTTTCCTTGTGGAAAAAAGAAAAGCATACGGTGAAGGTGGAGGGACTAATTGTAAAAGACAGCCAGTAACTACGAAACCAAAAACAAAAGGGCTGAAAAATTTTGGCCTCCAATTAATTTTCACAAAATATCATTTTCTTTTTCCAGTGGATAGTTACCAAATAGTAGAACATTCGCAAGATTTTAAAGATTATGTAAAACCCCCAAAAAGTTCTATTAAGATCTCTGGAGTACGTAGTAGTTAAAATCTAGTGGAGTCAGGATGGGTTTTGTATGTAAATATAATAGGATTGGAGTTTCTAACTCTCATGAATAGTCATGATCATGATCCTAATAGGCCTAGGAGCTCCCTTTTGCATTCGGCTTTTTTGTAAGTTGGCCTAACCTCATAGGCTTTACTTTTTTATACTCTATCTTGCCTTATGTATTCATTCTTGACTTTGACTTGTTTATGTTAAAATCTCTTTGAACTTGAAAATAAAAGACAATTGTCCTACATTAGAAATGATAACTCCTGTGTTGATCAATATATGACTATTTGAGGTGGAATTACACGTGAGTTTATATGAGCCTTCAAGATGATATCAAATCATGTTTTAGTTCCGTGGATTTATGAGTCGATTTTGAACGATTTAATAGTATATCCAGTTTGACTAATTCGTATTTAACCTTTAATTTATATGTATTGGGTTTTGACTAACCTGATATCTATTGTACTTAATTAAAGCAACATACAAGAAGGACATGTGTCAGCTCCACGTTTAATATTTTCCCGCCAAAGGCCATTTTCAGTACAAAATTATTTTTGACACGTGGCATTCTATATTTGCAAAAAAAAAAAGACTATGTAAATGTATCCCTTTTATTAAAAGAAATTACTCCGTAAAAACTAAAAAAGGTAGAAATCCACAATTAATATCCACCATTTACGTCCCTAAAAAAAGCTTCGCACGAATATCTCAATCCCTTTAATACATTCAAAGTCATATTTCAAATCAGAATTTGATTTTCAAAAGACCCAAGTGATCTTCCGAAAATCAGGCCGCCTCGAGGTTGGGGATTGGGATGGACGATAACTTCTGTCCCTAATATCAATTTCAAAAGAGATCCACTTATGAAGCAGATCGAATCGACATCAACAACCTTCATATAGATCCAGTCAGCAACATCAATGAATGTATTGCGGGAGAAGAACAATCGAATAATATTTTTAAGGTCAGATTCTTCCACCTTTCTTCCCTATATTCACGAATTCTACATTGGCCGATTTACTCATCGTCATAATTTTCTAGGAAATAGCAGTATTGATAGTAGATTCAAAATCGGTTTACGGGTCGTGTCTATGAAGATTCCAAAGTTGATGATGATGCCCCGTAAATTGGAATGTTTGAATGATGATTTGGATGAAGATTATACGAACGAATCAGATCAAAGACAAAATTCTCCAGGTTAGATGGTTTTCAAAAGATTTCAAAGGTTATCAACAACTCCTGTTTACAAAATCTCCACACACCTAATGCTCTCCAGTTTAGGGCTGGCTGACTTCAGTTGCGGAGAAAAACCACCGTCGACAAAGACCAATCAAAAGATCTACCGTTGTTCAGGTTATCTCTCTTTCATTTGCATACAAATCTTTTGAGATTGAATTTTGTTGAAATTTTTGAATTGGATTTGAATATCTCTAATACTCGAGATTTTTTTTTATTGCAGAACATAAGTACTAAAATAGTTGAAAAGCCAAAGTTCGCAATCTTCATTTAATCAGAGATTCAACGCCAATTTTAATTTTTCCTTGAATTTCCCGCACCCATAGTTGAAAGAGAGCAAGTTACCCAAGATTGAAGATATCTAATGTTTGCATCTGCAGCAAAACAAGGTTCAACCCGAAATTATCATTAGGTGAGATTGACAATATCTTTTGAAGGGTTTATTCAATGTGATGGTTTTCTTTGATACTTTATGTTGATGTCGTCTTTAGATCTGTTTATAGGTTTTTCTTTTCAATCGGATTTGGTGAGGATCTATTTTTTTTCTATGTTTTTTTTTCTTTTGGAATCACTCTTCGGCATTAGCCCCTTACTTTCTCCCATCGATGGCAATACGTACTTTGAATGAAAATTTGTCAATAATCTGCATATATTCATCCCCTTTATTTTAAGGGTTTTGGTTTATTCTTAGTGATTGAAGGTCCAAAAGGGACGGTATATGCAAAAGGATTCTTTTTAAGTTAAAGATTCAAATACCCTCTTCTGACATTACCCAGGACGACGCCTAATTGTGAAGGTTGTGACAATTTGAGACAAAGAGGATTAAGTCGTTGAGAGTTGTGGATACATAGATTTTAGTTTCATGGGACAAATCTACAGCTAATGTTTTTGATGATCAGGAGGTGAGTAATCTATGCAATATTTTTGTTGTATAAAGTATATTTGTTTAAATGGCCTAACGAAGTAATTAACAAATTTGTGGTTGCCTATTTCTTTTGCTTTTGTGTGGGATTCAGCAGGTATGTTATATGTAGGATCCTAAACGATCAGATTGTTCTTCTTACTAAGGGCTACAGTCAATTGAACCGGGTATTTCTTCTTCTAATTTCTTAACGCAACATGCAAGAAGTTATCAATTTTGGGAATTCATAGTTGATTGAATTCATAGTTGTATGATGCTTTACTTGAGTCCTTTTTATAGATGGATTAAGTTTAAACTATCATCATCCTCATCTGCATTTTCTTTTTTTTCTTTTCAGATTAGAGAATCGCTAAAGAACTTCACGTTTCGGGTAGCTTTGAGCCCAGATGATGTTGTAAGTAATAGCAAACATTGGAATCTCTAATTTTATCATAGACTTTCTTTCTTTCGGGGTTTGAAATATGCATTTGATACAGCTACTAATAGGTTTTCTGGATTTACGAATACTTGCTTAAAGAAGCTGCGTCCAAGTTTAGACAACCAGCTTAAAGAAGTTGCAAAAATTGTTTTTCATGGTTGCACTCTTTTATGTGATTGGAGATGTTGCTGGGTATCGATAAAATTTTTGTGACAAGGATTATACGCTGATTTTTTAAATTCATCTGATAATGAAAGCCTTTTCTTTCATATATTTACTTAATGTATAACAAGTTCTATATGAGAAGATTTGAATAATTCCAAATTTGCTTGCTAGATTGTTGGTCTGCTCATGTTCACTCTTTGTGTGTTCATTTTTCCAGTTTGCAGGAACCCCTTGGGGAAATTAGTGTTAAATTAGTTTGATGATTTGCTGGTTAGGATATTAAATGCACATGCTGTTATATCCTTATTATTGGAACTGGTTCATAGAAAGACAGGTTGATCAGCCTTTGTGGAGACTTCTGTTAGTAGTAATATTTCTTCTAACACGTCATATCTAGACTGTCACTGCCATCTATTTATTTACACCATCATTCTGTGATTGCATGATCAATTTTTCGTTTCTCTACATCATAAAGTTAACCATCAATTCCAAATATGTCCACCGGAAAGATATAGTTATGATGATTATATAATATTGTGGGGATTTGATGCTGTCATATTTTTGTTAATATAGCAAAGGTGAATCCTAGGTCAGTATCTCTATGATAGTCTTCTTTTATCACTACATTTAGCCACTATGTTGGATAAGTTGAAAATTTTCATTTTCTTTCCAAGTTTTAGGTTTGAGAATTCTGACTGACACAAAGCCATTATATTGCTTATTTAGATGCTCTTTTTATACTTAATGTGGCATTGTAAACGTAATTTCAATTGGTATGTGGTTAAAACTCCTGAAATCGCTTATGTGTTGACTCATAGAAATTACTTGAATACCTTTTGTGGTAATTCTTTGTACACTCCAACTGGCTTAACTAATCTTAAAGTGGTAGTCTGCTAATCAGTTTAGTCATAAGAATGTTGTAATCTATTTTGATACTCCTAAAGTGAAGTTTGTTCTATCTGCAGCAGCTGGTTATTGGTATTGTTCGTGTAAATTTGTAAATTCTCTGTAATCATAATAGAAGAAATACATGTGATATTTTGATGCTTTACTTATGGAATTTAACTTGAACAGCCAATTTATAATGCCCGCATAATCTGATCCCAACTCTTACTGACTTTGTAGGGCAGAAAAGCACAAAATAAATATTAGGTAGTCCCTCCAAAAATATGTTCATGAGTATCTATTTTTTGTTATATTTTGGCCTGATAACCTGATCCTGTTCCTGTTGTTTTTGCAGGTATATTTGGCAACCAGTTAGCTGCTTTCTTTCTTAGATTAAACAGGATTCATATGTATATGCGTATTTGTACTGCCAGTTAGCTAGAGACCACATTTAGTGTTGGCCAATGGTCAGTCAAACAATTTTCATTTAAACAGTTTATCATTTTGATGAATGTGAAATCTAATCTGATTCTTTATTAACATAAAATATGTTTTAAGACCGGTAATATATATTATAAGAAGTATTATTCCCTTTTCAATGATTTAGCTTATTACCGAACCGTATTAAATCTCAGGGGATCCCCGTGCATTCGCCCCGGGGCAAGCATCTAGTTATATATGACGAGTTTGGGTTTTCTGTACAATTTGATTTACAATCTGCCCCAAAGATTTCTTCTAACCACAAAGGGGAAGACTCTTCCCAACTATGTCTACTTTTACAAGAAGAGTCCATTGGCAAAATTGATGCTAATTGTATTCCATTGCTCTCTAATAAATAAAAACTTAGAATCGATAAAAGTGATTTAATGGGATAAGTTGGGAATATTTAAATAATTTATATATTATATTTAAGTATTTCATA